ATCTGCACAGTTCAGTCTAGTTAACACCTACCTCCATACATATTTACAAAGGAATTTTTCCTTGAAATAAGGATTTGAAGATTTACTCTTTTAGCAAATTTCAAATAAGCAATGTAGTACTATTAACTATATCTGGTAATTCATGCCTTTACCTCTTAACCCAATTTAGCTCGTCACATTCACTGCCTGTATCTGTGAGCTTGGTTGTTGTTTGTTTGACTTTCAATTCCACATATAAGAAATGTCATATGAGTTTGTCTCATTTGGTCTGACTTTATTTTGCTTAACACAATGTCTGTGTTGCTGAAAGTGGCAAGATTTCATTCTGTTTTGTAACTGAATTGTATTCCATCATATGAATACATGTTTATAATAATATCTCATTGTGGTATTGATTTTCATTTCCCTGATGATTATTGATATTGAGCATATTTTCATGTACCTGTTGGCCATTTGTGTGTCTATTTTGGAAAAGTATTCATACCATTTTCTTATTTTGAAATTTTTTTGTGTGTGTTTGTGTGAGTGAAGAAGAACTGGGGTATAGGCCAGAGGTGCAAAACAGGCAAATTTATTGAAATACAATACTAATGGGGAGCAGTAAGCAAAACAGGAGAGGTTTGATGTGTCACATGTGGGTTAGCTCCTTGGCCAGGGATTGAACTGAGGCTGTATGGGTGATAGGATGAGACTTAACCCCCATTTAAAACTTTTATTATTAGTGCTTTTTATTGTGTCACTTCCTTATGTATTTGAGACATTAATCCCTTTTCAGATATGTGATTTATAACTTTTTACTGTTTTTTTCCCTTGCTATGTAGAAGATATTTAGTTTGATCTACTCCCACTTCCTTATTTTTACATTTTTCACTTTGCTTTTGGAATCAGATAAAAAAAAATCATTGACAAAGCTGATGTTGAGTGTTTTGAACCTGTTTCCTTCTAGGAGTTTTATGGTTTTCAGGTATGTTTGAGTTAGTTTTTGTATATGGTATGAGGTAGTGGTTAGTTTAATTATTTTACAAGTGACTGTCCAATTTTTGTAACATAATTTATTGAAGAAACTACCCTTTTCCCATTATGTATTCCCACATAGTCACATTTGAAAGATAATTTAGCTGGATACAGAATTATAGGTTGGTGATTTTTCTTTCATCACTTTATATCACTCTACCTTCTTGTTTGTGTGGCTTTGTAAGAGAAGTCTGATGAAATTCTTATCTCTGTTCTTCTATAGGCAAAATATCTTCTTTCAAGAACTATTTTTTTTTAATTCTCTGATTTGAGTATTATATGCCTCACTGTGGGATTTTTGTATATTGTGTTCTGTGTTCTCTGAGTTTCCTTGGCTCTGTGATAGGTTTCTGTAATTATTAATTTTGGAAAATTCTCAGTCATTATTTAAACATCTCTTTTCTTCCTTTCTCTTTTCTTTTGTCCTGTTACTTCTATCCCATGTAATTATTCTACTGTTTCTACATATTGCATCTTTACCTTCTTTTATTCCTTTTGCTTTTCAGTTTCTATTAATAATCTACAAGCTTATGATTTCTTCAGCCATGTCCAGTGTTCTGATAAGTCTATTCAAGGACTTAATTTCTATTATATGTTTTGATTTTCAACATTTAGTTTTCATTATTTCTTAGGATTTCCATGCTTTAGCTTATATTATCCACCTATTCTCCTATTCTTGTATGTTGCTTACTTTTTTTTTTTTGTATTAAAACCCTTAACATATTAATCACAATTATTTTGAATTCTTGTTTGGGTAACTCCAGAATTGCTCCTCTACCTAATCCTGACTCTAACCTGGTCCTAAAACCTTTTTTACTTTTTTTTTTTTAAAGATGTATTTATTTATTCATACAGAACTGGGGTACAGGCCAGAGATGCGGAGGGTGAGAGGATTCTCCAGAGACAGAGTGGGGAGCAGTACAGGTAGATCAACGAAGTACACTGCTGAGGGGAGCAGCCGGCGGGTCAGGGGAGGTCTGCCACGCCATGTGGTCACCTCCGGGGCAGGCGGGGAT